AAGCAGGTTTCATTAGTGAAGTGACATACACCACTTGGCTCGCCAACGTGGTCATGGTGAAAAAAGCCAACAGGAAGTGGCGCATGTGTACGGACTACATGGACTTGAATAAGGCCTGTCCTAAGGATGCTCACCCTCTGCCAAGCATTGACAACATGGTGGACGGGGCGTCCGACCATAAAATGCTGAGTTTTCTCGACGCCTATTCAGGCTATAATCAAATACCTATATATGCCCCAAACCTAGACGAGCATTGCCTTCATTACTGAGAAGGCCAACTACTGCTACGAGGTCATGCCTTTTGCCTCAAAAACGTCGGAACAACTTATCATAGACTGATGGACAAGATATTCGCATATCAGATCGGACGATGCATGGAGGTGTACGTCGATATTATGGTGGTACTGTCTAAATTTGAGACTCAACATGTGAAGGACCTTGAAGAAGTGGTCGGTCGCGTCCGGCGCTTCAGAATGAGGTTGGACCCAACAAAGTGCACCTTTGGCGTAGGCGTGGGAAAATTCTTAGGCTTCATGTTGACAGCCCGAGGGATCGAAGCCAACCCGGACAAATGTTCGACCATTCTAGAAATGAAGAGCCCTTCTACCTTGAAGGAAGTTCAACGATTAGTAGGCAAACTGACCACCCTTTCTCATTTTATACCCAAGCTGGTCGAACGCATCTGACCCGTCCTGAAGAAGATGAAGAAGGCTTCAGGAGATAAATGGGACCCAGAATGCGAAGAAGCATTGCAAGGGTGAAGGAAGTACTAACCAGCCCTCCAATCATGAATCGGCCGGTCGAGAAGGAAGATCTGTAGATTTACTTGGGAATATTCGAGGAAGTCGTTAGTGTTGTTCTCCTCCAAGAGAAACTCAAAGCAAAACTCGTCTATTTTGTAAGCCGAACCCTCCAAGACGCTGAGACTCGCTATGCTCAAGTAGAGAAGGTAGCGTTGGCGCTACTTCATGCGGCTAGGAGCCTATGGCCTTACTTCCAAGGCCATCGGGTTGTAGTCCGAAAAGATCATCCCATCTCGAAAAATTTGAGAAAACCTGACCTGGCTGGCCGTATAGTAGGTTGGGCGGTCGAATTGTCAGAATTTGGCCTTCGGTATGAGCCGAGGGGTTCGGTCAAAGGTCAACACTTTGTAGATTTCGCAATGGAGTTACATCCAACAACCTCCATTTTTGAGTGGGTGTTGTATGTCGACAGCGCATCCGGACGAACCCGTAGTAGGGCCGAAATAGTCTTGGAAGGACCGAACGAATTTCTACTGGAGCACTCCTCACTTTTCAATTCCAGGCATCTAACAACCAAGCGGAATACGAAGTTCTGGTGGCCGAACTCGAGTTAGCCACAGACATGGGGGCGCAAAGGCTAACCTGTCGAACGAATTCACAGTTGGTGGTAGGGCAGATGAATGATGAAGTTCAAGTGAAAGACGACCATCTGCTACGATATTTCCACAAAGCATCCTCTCTGGCCAAGTACTTTGAAAAGGTTTACATATTGCACATTACTCGAGGGGACAACGCCCCGACTGATAGACTGTCCAAACTGGCCAACGGAAAAGAAAAGGGACAACTAATGACAATCATTAGAAAAGTGTTATCATAGCCATCAGTGGAATGTCTGACAGCGGCCACAGTAGAGCCGGATTACTAGAGAACAGAGATTAGGTGGCTCATGGACCAACAAGATGCTGGTCAAATTGTCCGCTTGGCGGACGCCAGAAAAATTGCTTGTTATCTCGTCATTGGAAGAGATCTCTATAGTAGAGGATTCTCACCCCCCTTCTTAAGTGCCTTTTAGGACCCAAACCTCAATATGTGCTGGACGAGGTCCACAACGGAGTATGTGACTTCCATACCGAGTGGCGAACCTTGAAGGCACGGGCGGTCAGGGCAAGTTATTACTGGCCCACCATGGACGAAGACGCCAAGCGATTCGTGCAACGATGCCCAACATGCCAAGCGCATGCCAACGACACCCACGCTCCACCGACAGCCTTGCACACCATTGTTTCCCTTTGGTCATTCGCACAGTGAGGCATGGATATTGTCGGGCCATTTCCCCTAGACAGTCTTAGAAGAAGTTTCTCTTAATCACCATCGACTTTTTTACTAAGTGGGTAGAGGCGGAAACACTAGCATCGATAACCGCACACCAGGTGCAAAAATTCGTGTGGAAGTTAATCTGCTGGTTTGGACTTCCCAAAACGGTCGTTACTAACACTAGAAGACAATTCATTGATAAAAGACTAGGTGAGTTTTATCAAGGATTGAGAATAAAACATGTGACCAGCTCGGTCAAATACCCTCAACTAAACGGCCAGGTTGAGGCTATAAAATAAACGATCGTGACAGAGAAAAAGAGAGCTTGGGTTTACGAGCTCTGGAGGTCCTATGTGCATACAAATGCTACCAACACAGGACGACCGGAAAAATGTCCTTCAACCTAACGGACGACACTGACGCCATGTTACTAGTTGAGTTGGGAGAACCTTCTTTACAACGGCAACTAGAGGATATTCGCCTGAATGAGGAGGAACTAAGGGTAGAACTGGACACCTTGGACGAGTGAAGCGTGTAAGAGAATGGTGGAGAGACGGTATAATACCAAAGTGTGGCCCAGAAGCTTTTAGGAAGGAGACTTGGTTGGAGAAAAACAGGTGAAGCACGCCGGACGACAGCCCACAGAAAGTTGGTGGCGAAATGGGAAGGACCTTTTAAGGTCACCGAAGCCCTTGGGAATGGCGCTTACCGTCTCACCAATCCGGACGGACGACCAATCCCAAACACTTGGAATGCATCACATTTAAAATTTTACTTTAGTTAAATCTTTGTATTGTATTCCTCTTTTTAGTTAATATAGTATCCAGAATGCTCCAATTAGTACTTTCGCAACACTTTTAAACCAGACGACTAGCACACCAACAGCTAAAAAACCAAGTTGATGAACAGAGACTTCCCAATGGAACCACTGTCAACTTGCCTGGGCGGTGAACGACGAGTTCATCAAATGAATCACTGTCGCCCGGTCCAACTAAAAAAGCAAGTTGATGAACGGAGAGTTCCTAATGGAACCACTATCAATTTGGTCGGGCGGTGAACGGAGAGTTCATCAAATGAACCACTATCGCCCGATCCAGCTAAAAACCAAGTTGATGAACGGAGAGTTCCTAATGGAACCATTGCCAATTTGGTCGGACAGTGAACGACGAGTTCACCTAAAGGACCACTACCGCCCAGCTATTATGAGCAAATCAATTCTCCAAATGTCTATCGATTCATGATCATAATTCAAAGCCAAACGACGATTCTAAAATAACTTAAGATATACTATAGATGTCAGAGGCGAACGGTCAATGGCCGATCGAAATAACAAGAACTATATAAGTAAAGAGAAACAAACTTGTATTAAAATATTGATAGGAGGGGATGTGCACTTAACAGTATCAGCAGGCTGGCGAGACACACTAACAAAACCTAAGTGCCTGGCCCTCGACCACGCTTAACAAAAAGCAAAAATAAACCCTCCTTCCACTAAACTAAACTATTCATTTCCACCATCATTAGCCTGACGATCTTCAACGTTGGCCCACCCGTATCCCCTTATCGACGTCGACTCCCCCTTGAAGAAGGAAGACTGAGACTCCATTTATGACCCTCTCATCGCTATAAACACGGGAACCTGATTCCGATCCGCCTTCCCAGTTGGTCCTCTCAAGAAAGGATGACGACACAGAACTAGGGAAGGAAGACCCATCACCGTCGGACGAACCACCGTCGTCCCTGCCCGCTGACCCATCAGAAGAACTCAGACGAATAGTATCCATTTATTAATTACCTTTGAAAAAGAATATTGTACCGGACGATATACAAAGGAGTGAGTAGAGAAGTTTGAAAATGACGGCACCACACACCCCTATTCATAGTAAAATTTCAAGAAAACCACCACTGCATCGTAGCCGTTAAAACCGGCCACGATCAATGGTCCAGATTTAATGATGCTTCCACTACCCGAGGACGACAGCTTGCCCTAGAGCGACACGTGTGTTTCCCGCCAAAACATCTTTTAAACAGGTCGAACGAGATCTATTATCTTTTCAAACCCCAATGAATATTAATTGTCTAGGGCTTGGGGAGTCTAGAGTACTAGGGTGTCCGGACGGGTACCCTGGACGGTCGGTGAACATCGAGCATGGCCGGCCGGCCGCTGACAGCAAGCAAAACTTTGTGTCAAGATTAAGGTAAAACATTGATTATGGGTAATTGGGCTGTGATTGGGCCTAGATTAAGGTTCGTTAATCCAAAGCCCATAACGAAAACTATAAATACATGTCAAAGGTAAAAGGTAAGTGATTCACATTTACTGTGCATTTATTGTTGAATTAAACCTACCAAACGGACTATCTACTAACTTAAGCATCGGGAACCTTTGGCAAGAGCACCTCCAGACGAAAGAGTGAAGAAAGAGATCCAGGAGCGAAACCGGACGACACAGGAGAAAACATTTTGAAGGTGTTAGAAGTGATTCGACCTCACAACTGAAACCTTATGTATATTTATAAGATTTTATTTTATACTTACTTATAATAAATAATAAATCGTTAATTTTTTATACTAAATCTTATTTAAGATACTTAAAATTAAAAAATTCAAATTATAAAAAAAGTGTTCATGTGATATATCTTTTTAATATGGAATAGGTTCAACCACCTTAGCATATTTAATGTGTTAATATGGAAACTAAAATATCAATAAATTATATTTTCTCTCTCAATTTTTTCCTTTTATGTTAAAATGATATATCAATTGTTCATTAGTTTATAAACTTATAGAAAGAGAATGATATATTAATTCTTTAATCTTTTGGTATTAGCTAGACCAAACTTGGTAGTGTTGAGCTAAGGCATTGCACTTTATATTTATGTAATATTCTAAATTTACAAGATGAAACTAAAATTTTTGAACAAATTGACAAAAAAATGCTCCTTTAATCAAAATAATGAAACTCATTTTGAGATGTTGAATTTGTTACACTAACATGCTATTGACACCTTTTTTCTTCACTTGTTCGATTAGATTTTCCTTTTCTTGCAGAAACTGTTTGAGAGTTTGGGGTGTATGAGGAGAAGGCATTGCACATGGAGGTGTATCACTTGGTGAATTCACCATGGACTCTTCCATGAAACTTTTCTGTAAACCCATCACAGGACATGCCATACTTTCAGAACAAATCTCAGTAGCTCCTTCTGGTATGGTTGGCTTGAATTTCAAGAGCTTTGCATAATCATTTAACAAATGAAACATGTAATCATACACATACTTCATCTTTAAATTCTCTAATATGTAGTCAGTCCCTCCATTGCCAATCACCTGCGCCTGCAACATTTCAAATTCGAAACATCATTAGTATACAGAATATCAATGAGACAAAGGTAACGAGTTTATAGGTATTTGGTTATTACTTATTGTTAGGTTTATTAAGAAAAGGTTTATCAGAAATACACAATACCAATGAGTTCTAAACTCAATCACATAAGGGATTGATACTACTCTTTATCTAAAATCTTAAGGCAATGGGTTAATAGGTCTTTTACCATTATATAGTGCTTTACTTTCTCAATCCAATGTGAGACTTAAACTCATACTTATATTCTCAACTATGAGTTTTCTGAGAAGAATTAGTTGAAAGACAACTCTTATAAGATTGTAATCCAATTTACGTAAGAAATTGATATTATTTCTAACTTAAAACTTTAAAACAATGAATAATAGTGGAGGAAAGTGATTACATTTTGAAGGTGAGAATTCCCCCAATCCACAGCATATTTAATGTCTTCACACATGTTTCTGGGGCTGATGGGCCAATAGTGTTGTAAAGGTACCATATTTCTTGTAAAGAAGTCATAATACGTAGGCTCTACTAACAAGGTCATTGAGTCACACAATATTATGTACTTTTCACTCACAGACCATGCAGCTCCTTCTATATAGATCTTATATCTTTCATCACAAAAATTTCAAGAGTTATTAAGTAAGATATATGTAGCAATGGATTCAAAAGAAAGCACAAAATATTTACCTATGGGTACACTGATTTTCTAGTTTTGCATTTGCATAATTACTTGCTTTCTCCCTGTTCCATTGCTGAAAAGGGAAAGAAAAATGTTAATTTGAATTTGACATCACTAGTGAAGTATATGAACCTAAATAAAGAATCATAAAGTTATATATTTACTATGCTTTCTATTCTTGCATTCCAATCCTGTTGTTTTGTAGGGTTGCACTTCATGAGTTCTCTCCTAATATTAGCCACTGCTGGGTTTCCCTTCCAAAAAGCATAGGGTACCCTATCTATCCATTTGGTCTTCTTGTTGCCTTCTAGTATACTATGTAATGTTCTTTCCCATGGTCCTATGTTGATCTCAGGCCTAGTAACAAAAACCATAATATATGAAATCATGTTATATCTTCAAAACTGGAATTAAAAAACATGTAATTGATCGAGAGACTAACACTAATAAAACAAGAGTCCATCCATATAAATAATTAACATCACCTTTGAAGTAATATAATAAAGGTTTAATTGCTTCATTTGTCCCCAGTTTGGTTGAATTGTGTCAAATTCATCCTCATTTTTAAAAAAGTTTCATTGTCATCCTCACGTGGTGTAAAAGTTTCATTGTCGTCCTCACGTGGTGTAAAAGTGTCAATTGAATCCAAACATAGAAAAAATTTGTGTCAAAGTAGTCATTTTTCCTATATATCTGTGTCTTCCTTTCATACAATCAAGTACAGATATTCATTTTACCTTATCCAATTTAAGGCTTTTCATAGCTCCAGAGAAGTGACATATGAAAGGAAGACACAGAGATATAGGAAAAATGACTACTTTGACACAAATTTTTTCTATGTTTGGATTCAATTGACACTTTTATACCACGTGAGGACGACAATGAAACTTTTTTAAAAATGAGGATGAATTTGACACAATTCAACCAAACTGGGGACAAAGGAAGCAATTAAACCTATAATAAACTTATAGGTAGTTTTTTCATAAAGTATTTATCTTTTGTTAGAAATTTAAATATGAATCTAAATCTTATATTGAGTATAAAGATAAAGTTGAATACCATATAAAGAAAAACACTAATAAAGTCATTATCTTAAGATTTTAAGTTAAAAATGATGTCAATCGTGTGAATTAGACTCATATTTTAATGGTATTACATCTTCTCATTTTTATGGAACTTAAACTCATTAATAATCTAAGAGAATTAGAAGAGATAAAACGAATAAAGTATGACTAAAGGGAATAGAAATTTTACCAACCCCAGAAGGACCAATCAGGGAAGACAATGTCATGTGAAATTTCATCTCCACAGTAATGGAAGACAGGAGGGGGTGACAAGGCTTGTGGTCCTTGGAAATTTTTTTTCAGTATAACAGTCTTGTCTCCACACTGAAACATTAGATCCAAATCTGGTATCTTTCCAGGGTACAACCTCAGAAGTTGTAAAACTCCCCATATTGTGAACACATCCCTTGTCTGATACACTCTGCCAAGTTTTTGTACATAAACTTTTCCATTTACAATTACAAGCCTAAAATGTGAAACATTTCTGCCTCTTTCAACCATGTCCCTTGTGATTCCTGTGCTCTTCCAAGGTTTCAGATCTTCATGTATCCATCTAAAGTAATCTGGACATGATGTAGTTGAATCACCATCAAACTCCAATGTTGTTGGGTAGTACGATGAACATGTTGCTGTTGAATTTTTATCAGTGCAGTTAAGTGGAAATTGGAGTTGTGGCTTATTATTGAATATTATAATTGTCTTCAGAAGAGTAGTGCTTGTTATTCTTGACTGCAAAAACACAAGAGATATGCATCTACATCAATAAAGAGAATGCTTCCAAGAAAAATTCATATCACAAACTAATTATATAAAAATTCATATAATTTCTTTGAATTTTTATTTTTAAAATTTTACATAAACTAACTTTAATTTATGCAAAAATTTATTTCTTTTTTCTTAGAATGTCCTATGAAGTGTGCCCATATGTATAATCAAAGAAAAAACAAAACAAAAAAATAATTGAAAACTTACTCTTTTTTATCAATAAAATAAAAAATCAATAAATTAATAAGTATCAGTTGGTACTCCAATCTTTTACATTCATACGAGAGTATATCTTAAGTTTATAAAACATATAGTGTATAATTTCTATGTAAAATATTTCAATCAATAACATATAATTCGAGTATATATAATTAAAATCTATATGTCATGAAAAATCATTCTATTTGGGGGGTAAGAAGACAAACCAATCGATTAAAAGAAATGAATATGAAGGAGAGACAAATTTTAAAAACACATAGAAAATTTGTTTTGATCAAGACATAGATCAAAGTATAAAGGATAACAAAAGCTACTTACAAAATCAGCTTCCAAGAAGAAAGAGCTTGCAACAAAAACGATCAAGATGATGATGGAGAAGAAAATCCATTTGATCATCTTGCTAAATCAAATGGGAGGAGTTAGCCTTAGAATTTTATAAGATGTTGTTGCTGACTATTAATACTAAAACTCAGTGCACCTTCTTAAGAATACTTGGTTAATTAAAGTCATTGATTCATAATTAATTATATTAACCACTCAAGACTTTTTTTAATTGCTTTCTCAACATTAAGTATATATCTATCTTTTTATTATGAAGTATAATGTTCTTAATGAAGAATTTAATGCTTTTAGGTAAAAATCGTGTAGCATACCGTATATATAAGGGTAATGCCTTAAGCATCTAGCAAAGTTACAGTTAAAAGTTTGGTCAAAATGAATTTGGATGCCATTTTTTTTTGGTATCCTTATTTATTTTTACAATATTTTAGTCTTTTGATTTAAAAAAAAAACATTTTTTTATCAAATTCTCAATTTTTACACATGGTTTATTTATTTTTCACTTTTATTCAAAGTAAATCTAAACCTAATATATTCATTTAAGTTATTCAAGAAATAATTTAACTAATTAAAATGTAAAAAAAGAATTAAATATATTAGACTGAAATTATGGATATTTGAAAATATAGTGACTAAATTAAATAAAATCCAAAATTAGGGGACCAAATACAACTTGGGGTTAAAGTTTTTAGGGAACGTAATTTGAAAAATAAATGTTCTGTTTAACAAAGTGCTTAAAGGGAATAACCGTGTAATCAACAGTAAATAAACTTTATTGAAAGTCTTGAATTATTTTGAAAAACTATTCGTTAAATTAAGTAGTTTAGGTTTTTTAATATAATAAAAATGTTAATTTTCCTTGTAAGTGTCATAAAACACTATTTAGCATTTCTCTTTGAAAAATAACATAAATAAATATTTACATTAATAGGTTACAAATTTAACAATTCATATGTAGTAAGATTTTATTTTTTTTGGCGATGATGTCAGTTAAGAAAAATTAAAAGTATAGACTTAATAAAATACACATCCTTTTAATTAATAATTTAACAACTTTAAGAAAATAAATTCTTGAAAAAATATTAGCAAATTTGATTAATTAATTGAGCTGATGTCGAAATTCCAGACCAAAAACTGTGTTTGGTTTTAAAAGAAAATAAATCATTTTTATAATTATGTGAAAGAATTTAAATTAATAAATTGTCATGTTTTCAAAATTAATCTTAGAGTTCGTTAGGAGAGAAATATAAAAATAATTTGTTTACATTTTCCTAAAAGAAAATTAGTATATGCAATAGTTAAAAATACTAAAGAAAATATATGAAAAAATATTTATATATTAGCTCATTAAATAAGTTATTTTATTTTTTATCTTCAGAAAAAAAAATATAGAGAAGTTTCATTAAAACGTTTTTGATGTAATTTAAACAAATCTCTCAAAAACTTCTAAAAGAGAATAAAATTCTTTTTAATTTTGGTAAAATAAATGTTGATTTTGACAACCTAATAAAAAATTATTTTTATAAACTATTTTCGTATAAATTAACATTAAATTAAAATTACATCTGTATAAAAGAAATTAATGCCAATAGGTCTCAATTTCTTTAACAGGTAATTAGTGCGTAACTTTGAAATAGTATATTAATTCGTGCTTTAACGTTTGGCTGCCATAATCGTATACCTAGGTTAGGTTGGTTGGCTAAAAAGAAAGAAAGAAACAATATGATGGGATAAAAGGGAATGAAATTAAAAAATTGTAGACCATAATAAAAAACAATAATGAGAGAAATAAAAGAAATGAGAAATAAAATAGAAAAGTATGTAATAATAAACCATATATATCCTCCCTGTACTTAACTGAATAAACAGTATTATTTTCACTAATATTTACTTGAAAGTCAACATGAAAAGCTATTTTTTTTTTAGATTCTGAGAGACAGAATTTGGCTCAAAGATATTGAATTTTATTACATATAGTTGAAAAATATAATTATTTAGGCTCTATTTTTTTTTTCTCTCTTTCGCATCTTCATTAATTATAGTCATAGTTGTTTCATGAATTTAAACATGCACTCAAATTCATGGATTCATAATTACACACCAACCAAGTCAAATTTCAATATTATTTTAATACAAAATTTCAAGTGACTTTAATCTCATTTTTACGTGATCCATTTTAATTATCTCCCCCTAAACCTACTCTAACCCTACCTTTTCATTCATCTTTTTCTCTCAATTAAAAAAAAAGTTATAAAAGAAATATTCACCCTTTAGGAATTATATATTTTCATTTTTCAAAATTAATATATATGATCTATACTTATATGAAGTAAAAAAGTAAAAATGTAATTTCAAGACCAATAAAAAAATATAATAATATAAATAATAATAATAATAACAATTCAATTGAAGTCAAATTCAGTTTATAAATCATCAATAACACAACAGCCTTTAGCTTGATGCAAAGGGATATTGAATCATTCATGAAGAACATAGGGAGAGTGAGAAAAGAAGGAAAAGCTAAAAGAAGTGATTATATAGTTAATCAGAAAGAGAGAAATTAACACTAATTAAGAAGATGAATATTGATTAAGATGAGATTACGTACAAGATCAACCCAGTTGACAAAGAAATTGGTTGTAGCAAAGAAGAAGAGGAAGGAGAGGGAGAAGAAGCCATAGGTTGAAACCCCTTTCTCTCTTTGCTCAATGATTGATTCTTAGCCATCATCAATGGAGTTCTTCAACTCCTGCAAATTTTGTCATGGTGTATCACTACATATATGCACCAACTACCTCAAATATTGGATCTTAATAATATTTTTATAATTTCAAGGTCAACCTGCTTAAAACAATGGAATATACAACATATTTTTACATAGTCAAGGTTCAACCATGTATAAACAATCGTATCTATAGCTTTTAACAAATCATAAGGACCATATAATATAACTTTAATAAATCACTACTTGTGTGTGTGCTTTAAACATAAGTTGTTGTAGTCTAACATAAGTGGTTCTTAACTTTAGCTTCTGAAAAAAATAACACTTAATTAAATTAATCTTATCATGAATGTTTGGCTTATGAAAATAAGGTGTTATTTTTGTTGGGAAAATCTTATGTTGTAAAATAATAGTGCAGCCGTCCGTAATGTTAAATTAAGTAAATAATTTTCGTGTTGTTATTATTTTGAAATATTATAAGCAAGTTTTTTTTTTCTTTTAAAAAATATGTAAACTATTGTATATATAATTTCTCTTGTACATTTTTTTTTCAATTTTATTCTTTAAGTAAAAAAGTTTTAAATTAAAATAATTGTTATCGTTTCTTTAAATTTTAATCTTATAACATCTTTTTAAATTTAACTATATTTAACTAAATAAAAAATGTTTATAAAATTTATTTACCAGTGGTATTATATAATTTTATCTATTTACAAGTGGTATTAAATTTAACTAAATAAATTAAGAATGAAAGTTGTATCTACATAATAATTTTATCTAATTGAACACAATTATTTTCAGTAAAAAATATTTTTAGTCCCAAAAAATGTGGAGTAATATTTTTTTTATGTAATTGAATGCTATTATCTATTTTGCATAATTTATTGTATAAAGATAATGATGAAGTCAACATTACTCGAATTATAGGATATATGAAAACTACTGACACTTTTTTGGGCTACAAGATTTCATTGCTTAAAACCCAATCTAATCATCTATAAAATCATGTTTGTCAAAACATAAAAAATTTGTTTTTTTAATTTTTTTTAATTTATATTTATTAAATTAATAATATTTACAAAAATTAAAATAGCAGGATTAAATATTAAAATTTTATATTTTTAATCTTTGTCATTGCTTGCATTTTAATTTTCATTGTCTCCTTTAAATTATCATTAAAGTTATTTGGTTGGTGATAAAATATATAAATGCTATTTTGAAGGTGAATGCATTTTTACGTATCATTTTTTTTCTATTTTATATGTGTGGTATTAATGTAATTTATTTTCTTATAACTGAAGAAACTGTGTGTGAGATCCGTCTTAGTGCAATGAAACTGGGGTTTCATTGAAGACATTTTTCTTATTTTATTTTTATCAATATTATTTTTACACCAAACAAGTCCTAAGAAATGGAAAGCCTAATCATGGTTTGACTAATCACATCTTAATTTCGTCATAAACGAAATATATTATTAATTTCGTTACTTAAAAGAGAAACAATTAACTCTCTTGGCACATGGCATGAAACAATTATATTAAATAAACCTTTATAAACGAAATTCATCTTGTTCTAGTCGTTAACAATGTCACTTTTCACGGAAACATTTTTTTATACGAAAAAAATCACCAATTTTATTGTATCGTTCTTTTTATGTGTTTTTCAAAATAATGAAATCCGATAAGATATGTTTAATTCCTTTGAGAAAACTTGAGCGGTTCTAGATATAAAAAATTTAGTTAAATGTTTAAATAAAACACACACAATTTAATATTCATTTTATTGTTCAATTAAAAAAATAAAATAAATAAGTCTCTTTTAAACATCTTAAGAAAAAAAATGCAAGAACACCATTTATGAACCCAGCCACATATCAATTTTTTTTTCTCAAAGGAAGTTGATGGATTTTTTTTTTTTAAAGTATAACATGTTTAAACCAACCATGCAATGGATATCAATTTCATAAAATTTATCAAGTAGAACAAATTTTAATCGTATTCTTATTAATAATAACTTATCTTGATATGGGCAAGTTACAACTATGTCAATCGAACACTATTATTGTTTTTAATGAGTAATAAAAAATCAGAAAAAAAGAATCACTTTTTTAAAATATATGATTTTTTGAAATATATATATACCAAATCATATGATTTTTACCAATCCTCTAATTGGGTTAAAACAAACAATATCAAGATATTTTCCTTTACTTTATTTATCTCTCTTAAACATTACAAAATATGTCATACCTAAGTTTTATTCAATTTTAATTATAACAATACACAACTATACCTAATCTTTATTAATTTCCCTTAAGGTTAAATGGTTGATCCTAACACTTTTTAAAAATTATAAATTTTCTTACACTAATCAAGAATTAAAACA